TTACATTTAAGTCTTTAATCCATTTTGAGTTTATTCTTGTGTATGGTGTGAGAAGATGGTCTCATTTCATTTTCTTGATGTATCTGTCCAATTTTCCCAACACCATTTATTGAATAGACTGATTTCACCCCATTGTATGTTCTTGCCTCCTTTATCAAATAGTAATTGACCATATAGATGTGGGTTTATTTATGGGTTCTGTATTCTGTTCCACTGATCTATATGTCTGTTTTTATGCCAGTACCATGCTGTATTGATTACTGTGGCCTTGTAGTATAGTTTGATTCAGATTAAAATCAGACAAGGGGAAAGGTGCATGTAGCGACGTTCAGGAGAAACCAGGCACAAACCCAGGTATTCTTTCCCAGTGGAGTTGAACAGGAATGCATTTACTTCTCCCAGCAATGATTTGTGATAATATATACAAATAGTTGCCAACCAGAGAAGCTCACCTGAGCCTTGCTGTGCAGGATTTTTATTGGGGTCAGTCACATAGACATGGAGTGCCCACATGACTGACTTCAGCTAGTCAGACCCCAGTCCCTCAGAGCAAAAACAGGCATTCACCATAAATCACATTGGTAGGATAAATGTATCTGGTCAGACTGGTACAGCATGGTTCAAGGCCTCCAGTATTCAAAAATACTCTAATTAGACAAAATATTTCAAGGGCTCAGTTTATTATTATTAATCTTCCACAATGAGCCAAATGCCAGTCCTAAAGATAATCAGGGTTTGAGCAACCTCAGTGTGCTGAGTTAGCCTTTTTCTGCAAACACCTGATCTCCAAGAATTATAATCAATTTAGAGCCAATGTCCAGTTCTCCAGTGCCCAGTCACCCTGGTGAATGACTGCAGGTACATTTGGAAAATACTAGGAAGATCTACTGCATGTTTTTGCCAATGTAATGTGGTCCTTCGTTAACAGGACCCAGACTCCCTTCATTCACTGGGGCTCTAGGTCTGGAATTGGCGAAAGCCTGAGAGTTTGAGGGTAGGGCCTTTCATTTATTGCATACTCAGCAAGTATGTAGCAACAAGAAAAGCTTATGGAGGAACATCTCCTAATACCTACTTTATGGGGTTCTTGTAAAAATTAGATTGGAGCCCTGGCCGGTTTGGTTCAGCGGTTAGAGCGTTGGCCCACGGACCAGAGAGACCTGGGTTCAGTTCCCGCTAAGGGCACATACCTCAATTGCAGTTTGTCCCCAGCCCTGGTTGGGTTGTGTGGGTGGCAACCACTCGATGTGTCTCTCTCACATCGATGTTTCTCTCTCTCTCTCCCTCCTGCTCTAGCTGAAGATAAATGCAAAAATGTCCTCAGGTGAGAATTAAAAAAATAATGGATTGGAATATACATAAAGTGCCTAACACAGTACATGGGACATCATAAATGCTCAATAAAGTGGTGGTAATACTATTGCAGTAGGCCAAAGAATAAACAGAATGGATACAGTTAATGTAGACTACTGCTTCAAGAAATTTAGCTGAGGGTGGTAGCAGGTGGAGGGGGGTCAATGGGGGAAAAAAGGAGGGACATCTGTAATATTTTCAACAATAAAAAAGAAAACCCATCAAAATTTAGCTGAAAATAGGAGATGGGAACAGAGGCCAGAGGGAAAGTTCTTTATTGTTTTTAAAGATAGATTTTAGCCCTGACCGGTTTGGCTTAGCATTAGAGCGTCGGTGCGTGGACCAGAAAGTCCCAGGTTCGGTTCCCGCTAAGGACACATATCTTGGTTGCAGTTTGTCCCCGCCCCGCTTGGGGTTGTGTGGGTGACAACCGGTCGATGTTTCTCTCCCCCCCACCCCCTTCCTGCTCTATCTGAAGATACATGCAAAAATGTCCTCAGGTAAAGATTAAAAAAAAAAAAGATAGATTTTAGCATGTTTGTAGGCTAGGGTGTGTGTGTTCCAGACAAGAGAGGGATTCTGAAATCATTAAACTAAAAGGAGAGAGAAAAATAATATATGGAACGAAGTCCCTGAGGGGGTAGTTGATGAAATCCAGGCACAGCTGTTGATGAGCATTGTCTATGAGGGGCTTTCCTGAGATGGAAGGAAGCAAGTAAGATGGTCACACTGGTAAATTTGGAGACAGTGGGGAGTGGAATGTTGAAGGAGTTCCTATTTAATACCTTGTGTTTTCTTAGTGAAGGAGAAGGTACTCAGGGGCTCAAGATATATGGAAGAATTAAGTGATATTGAAGGTTTAAATGAGGTTGGAGATCAGCTCTGGCCAGTGTTGCTCAGTGGTTAGAGTGTTGGCCTAAGCACCAAATGGTCGCTGATTTGATTCCCAGTCAAGGGCACATACCTGGGTTGCAGGTTTGATCCCAGCCCCAACTGGGACAACCAATTGATGTCTTCCTCTCACAATGTTTTTCTTTTCCTCTCCATCCCTCCCTTCCCCTTCCACTCCCTAAAAATCGATGGAAAAATACCCTCAGGTGAGGATTAACAACAAAAAAAGATCAGACGTTTTTCTTCATAGCTCATAAATAGGCATACAGGCAGATGGGAAATTAACCCATATTGGGGCTGCTTATTAGTTAATTCTTTTGGTTGCAAGTAACAAAAACTCAAACTACCTGAAGAAACGGGAATTTGTCCTGGTCAGCTTGGCTCAGCAGTTAGAGCGTCAGCCTGCGGTCCAGAGAGACCTGGGTTCGGTTCCCGCTAAGGGCACGTGCCTTGGTTGCAGTTTGTCGCCGGCCCTGGTTGGGTCATGTGGGTGGCAGCCACTGAATGTGTCCTTTTCATGTCAATGTTTCTCTCTCTCTCCCTCCCACTCTATCTGAACAAAAAATGAAAGAATGTCCTCGGGTGAGGATAAAAAAAGGGGGGAGTGGATTTACTAGAAGGATACAGCTGGTCATCAAATGGACCTCAGGACTGAAGTATTTTAGGAAACCTAGGAAGTTGTCTCTCATCTCTGCCCTCTGTAGACCACATACTGGACCTTGGCCACCAAGGGCTCCCAAGTATTTTTTTTAATGGACGTTTCTAGGCCTTCTTTTTTCCCCCTTCTTTATTGATTTTGGAGAGAGAAGGAAGAGGGAGAGATAGAAACATCGATGAGATAGAACATGGATTGGCCGCCTCCTGCATGCCCCCCACTGGGGATTTGGCCCACAACTTGGGCATGTGTCCTGACTGGGAATCGAACTGGCGACTTCTTGGTGCATGGGTCGATACTCAACACTGAGTCACACCCGCGGGGCATTGTGTGGTTTTTTTTTTATCCTTATCTGAGGACATTTATTTATTTATTTTTTGCATTTATCTTCAGACAGAGCGGGAGGAAGGGAGGAAGAGAGAGAAACATCGATGTGAGACAGACACATCAAGTGGTTGTCACCCACACGACCCCAACCAGGGCTGGGGACGAACTGCAACCAAGGTACGTGCCCTTAGCTGAATCCGAACCCGGGACTCTCAGGTGCACAGGCTGACACTCTAACCGCTGAGCCAAACCGGCTAGGGTGGCTCCCAAGTTTTAATGAGTTAGTCAGGCCCAAAGAGTTATAAATTCCTAGGTAAGGAAATAGTTGGGTTGGCCTGGTGATAAAAGTAGGGAAAAGAGCCAGTTCTAAAATAGGGGGCTAGCCCTGGCTGGTTTGGCTCAGCGGTTGGAGCATTGGCCTGTGGTCCAGAGAGACCCAGGTTCGGTTCCCGCTAAGGGCGTGAACCTCGGTTGCAGTTTGTCCCCGGCCCTGGTTGGTCGTGCAGGTGGCAGCCACTTGATGTGTCCCTTTCACATCAATGTCTCTCTCTCTCCCCCTCCTGCTCTATCTGAACAAAAAATGGAAAAAAATGCCCTCGGGTGAGGATTAAATAAATAAATAAATAAATAAATAAAACAGGGCTAGGCAGACATCTAATAGGTCTCTGCTAGAGCAGGACAAATCTCTATCAGTAAAAATTTCTACTTGGTTAAAGACTAGATTTATATTTTTACAAACAGTAATTCCACAAGGAACATAATTCATTCAACAGATATTTTAATGAGATCCAGTCTGGTATGAGTCCTACTTGGGGGCGGATCATCATCCAAGAAGAAACAGTTACAATGCAACTTGCTAAACACCAGAACAGAGGTAATTACAAAAGCTGTTCCCCAGCTGCACCCCCACTCTGGAGCTGTGATGAGGACAGATACAGGGGTAGGATGACCCCTTCCAGCTGTTGGAATGAGATGAGTCAGGTTTGGAAATTCCAATTTGGTGCAGCTACCCAAGGAAGGTAGTAGGCCTGTTCATTCAATTCAATCAAGCCTTACTGAGCAGCTACCTAGTCAGGTGTGGGTGCCATGGAGGCATATCAAAGATTAAGTAAGACACATTGCTGCCTTCTGAAGCTTATGTTTACAATTTGATGACTGTTTTGTTTTGTATGTAATTACCCAATTTTCTACCCTCCTTGGATGGCTTCACCTCATTTTATGAAAAAAAAGTTTTGACTGAGGACTCATGAAAGGTGCTATGCTGAAGTGAGACCTAGGACTTTCCAACCACTGGCTGCCAGAAACCAATCCAAACCCACCAGATAAAGTACAACAAACCGGTCCTGTTTTCACTTCTTGCTGCTACCCATACCTCCCCCCTGCTTTCCCTTAAGATCAATCTTGTCCCGCCCTGGCCGGATTGGCTCAGCGGTTAGAGCGTCGGCCTGCGGTCCAGAGAGACCTGGGTCCGGTTCCCGCTAAGGGCACGTACCTCGGTTGCAGTTTGTCCCCGGCCCTGGTTGGTCGTGAGGGTGGCAGCCACTCGATGTGTCCCTTTCACATCAATGTTTCTCTCTCTCTTCCTCTCTCTCCCTCCCACTCTGTCTGAACAAAAAATGGAAAAATGTCCTCAGGTGAGGATAAAAAAAAAAAAAAAAAATCAATCTTGTCCCAAAGCTCAATACACTTATGTCCCAGACCCAACTTTAAGCAATTTTCCAAACACAGGGTGCAGAAGACTTAGCTTCACAGCATGTGGTTTTTAAAAAACTTAGGTATTTGGGTATCTGCAACCCAATACACCCTGGTACAGTGCTGCCCCTCTTCCCAAATCCAATGTAATCTAGAGCTGGTAAAACAACTCCAGACCAGGAGGTATATACTGTGTACACTGTGGTGCCGGTTTATTTTTATATGACCCCTTAAAAGGAACACTGAAAAACCAGCACCTGTTTGGAGTTCATGTATGGGAACTGAAACCCTATCATTAAAGAATGACTGACCAAATTAATGCTGTTTAACCTGAAAACATGAGGCAAAGTAATTAGGATTAAGTTATCTGAAAAGCTGCCATGTAGAGGAAGTACTAAACATATTCTGGGCAAGGCTTACAGGGAAGAATGTGGCACTTAACCACCTTCAAAGATCACAGCTATCCTATAATGAAATGACCTGCTTTGTGAGGTAGTGAGCTCCCTGTCAAGGGAGGTTTTAAAGCAAGGGTGGAACACCACTTAGCAGGAGTATTGTTAAAAAGGGGGCTAAACCAGGTTTGTTTAAACCTGGTATGGAGGAGGAGGCAGAGTAGGAGATCCTGCCACCTATAAAAAGGATCCTCCTGACTACATGCAAAGGGACAGGTAATCCCTATATGCAAATTAGAAAGGTAGACAGCCCCTAAAATATCTGGGGAGAACTTTCACTCTGATGGCCACGCACAGAAATTTTTAGGATAAGATAGCTTGTTAAATTTGAACCAAATGATGTCACCTCTCCTAATGGGACTATCTGTTCTAGACAGAGTAAGGCAGCCAGTGTGGAAGAATATACTCAAGTTCAGGTCTGTGTAGCAGAAGACCTGGGTTTTAATTCTGAATCTGCCCTGTATGACCTGGGCTTCTCCTTCCCTTCTCTAGGCCCCTCCATGAAATGAAATGAACTTAAGACAGTCCTTTCCATTCTAAAGGGCATTGCCCTTCTGACTGGGTCCCTCTATAGCAGATCTAGAGCTACAGTTTTGGACCCTGGGGCTACACTTGTGGACAGCCAAAGACCACCTCTGGCGAAAGCAACGGCCACACTCAAGGCAAGGGAAAGGTTTCTCCCCAGTGTGCAGGAGCTGGTGCTGGGCCAGGTGGCTCCACTGGGCAAAGCGCTTAGAGCACAGGTCACAAGCATAGGGCCGCTCGCCTGAGTGAACGCGCCGGTGACTAGCCAGTAGTGAGGGGTAGGCAAAGCGGCGGCCACAGTCTTCACACGCATGCAGCTTCTCCTCGGTGTGTGTGCTGCGATGTATGGCTAGGGAGCCGCTCCGACGGAAGGCACGTCCACAGTCTGGGCACGGGTAGGGCTTCTCTCCTGTGTGCAAGAGCTGGTGCTGGAGCAGGGTGCTGCGCTGGGAGAAGCGGGCCTCACAGTGCTCGCAGGCATAGGGACGCTCCCCAGAGTGCACTCTCCGGTGGCTCACCAGGCGAGAGGACGAGGAGAAACGCCGCTCACAGTCTGGACATGGGTAGGGCTTCTCGCCCGTGTGGATGCGCTGGTGGATGACGAGAGCGGTGCGCTGGCGGAAGCGGCGGTTGCATTCCAGACAAGTATAGGGCTTCTCTCCTGTATGTGTGCGCTGGTGGATGGCTAGCAGGGAGGGGTAGGCAAAGCGCCGCCCACAGTTAGGGCACTGGTGGGGTTTTTCGCCTGTATGTGTGGTCCGGTGATTGGCCAAGGACCGGCTCCTTCGGAAGCAGCGGCCACAGTCAGGGCAATGGTAGGGTTTCTCGCCTGTGTGGATAACCTGGTGCTGAGAGAGGTTCTTACGCTGCGAGAAACGTTTGCCACATTGGTCACAAACATAGGGACATTCACCAGAGTGTGCCCGCCGGTGACTGACCAACAGGGATGGGTAGGAAAAGCGGCGCCCACAGTCTGGGCAAGGGTAAGGCTTTTTTAGATTCTGGGCACACTTGTGGCTTTTCAGAGTTGGGTGATCAGGGAAGGTACAACCACAGTCAGGGCAGATGGGACCCCCAGATGTCTGTCTGGGAATCAATCTGGGCTTGCTGGGCTTCCGCCCTCTCTTCCCCTTCCGGGGTGCCTCCTTAGGTGGGAAAACATCTTTCTCTTCAGTCTTCTTTCTGGCTCTGGTTTCTACAGGGACACAGGAGAAATTAATTTAACAAGTACTGGGCTTCTACTCTTGCCTATTACAGTGTTACAGAATATAAATCAAATAGACTCTGCCGGTCTTCAAGGAGTGTTAGTGACAAAGACCCAGTGTGACATACTGCTATGAAAGTATGGAGGGAATTACAGGAGCCCCTAACCCAGATTGGAGAAGTTGGGGAACATTTCTGGGAGATTACGCTGACTTTAAAAATTAGTTTTTGAAGAGGGTGTAAGGCAGGGAGTGGAAACAAGGTATGAGCTGGCAGTGACTAGGTAATAAGCCCTCTAAGCCAGAGGTTCTCAAATTTTATTGTGATCAGAATCATTTGGAGGGCTACTGAAACAGTTTTTGATTCTGCAGGTCTGGGGTGGGGCTCACAAATTTGCATTTGTAACATGATCAGGAATGATGCTGCTACTGGTCTGAGGACCACACTCTCAGAACCACTTCTGTAAGGACTTTGAACTACATTTTACCCAATGGTTCTCAAACTTAAACATACATCCAAATCAATTGGGGCTATTAAAACACACACATTCCTAGACATCTGTAAAGATAAGTAAATAGTTCTAGAATTGGGTCCAAGAATCTGTATTTTTACCAAGTTCCCCAAGTGACTAGATATAACTGACAACCATCTGATAATCCACGCTGGCAAAAACTGAATGTTTTTTGTTGTTGTTTTTTAATCCTCACCTGAGGACATTATTAGAGAGAGGAAAAAGGTAAGAGAGAGAGAAACATTGATTAGTTGCCTTCTGTATGCTCCCTAACTGGGTATCAAACCCTCAACCCAGGTATGTGCCCTGACCAGGAATCAAACCGACAACCTTTACGTGTACAAGATGACATTCAACCAACTGAGCCATTCCAGGTGGGTTGAATGGTTCCCCTACCCTTTATTTTATTATTATTTTTCCATCATCATTTATGGGCTGAATGGTTTTTGTTTATCCTCACCGGAGGATATTTTTCCATTTTTTTGTTCAGATAGAGTGGGAGGGAGAGAGAGAAAGAGAAACATCGACGTGAAAGGGACACATCGAGTGGTTGCCACCCACACAACCCAAACAGGGCCGGGGAACAAACTGCAACCGAGGTTCGTGCCCTTATAGGGAACTGAACCCAGGTCTCTCGGGACTGCAGGCTGATAACCGCTGAGCCAAACGGACCAGGGCGGGCTGAATGGTTTTAAGCAAAGAAATATCATGGTCAGATCTGAACCTTAGAAAGATAGCTCTGGTCTTAGAGAATCTGACATAGAAACTCCAGCCCAGATAGTTCCTTCTGCCCCTGTGAGTGGATCTGGGCCCTTCTACCCGAATGGAATTAATTAGAGCCTTGCTTGATCCTGAGGAGAGTGCAGTATGTCCTGCACTGATCAGAGTCCGGCCAGGACAGAAAGAGGCCACTGCACGCCAGGCAGCTGTTCTCCATGAAGTCCCTTAAACCAAAACACAGAAAACTCAGAAGTATAGGGTCTCTGAGTCAGAGCCCAATTCAAAGGAGGCTGCAGGCAGGCATCCTGGAAAGGAGGCAGAATAGTATCTCCTTTTAAAAGCTCACTGATTTTCACTCACACAATAGAAAACTGCCAATAGTTAGTCTTCAAAATGATATGTGAATCTTTGTGTGGTGGACCAAACCAACACCACCATAAACAGTACCCTGAAATTGTGAAAATGAACTCAGTAAATGGAGCACTAAAACATGGGTCATGGGTACCCCTAGCTACCATAACTCCGGACGGAGTCATTGGAAGCTGCAGGCCCTCCGCGGGCATTTTTTCACTCACTTCTTTGGACTGTTAACCCCCTTGGGCACTCCTGTGGATCCAAGGCAGCTGGTTCCCAATCATCGGTATTTCGTTCCAACCAGGAGATGAGGGATGGTTTGGGACCTGCGCACCCTGGGGAAGGAGAACCAGTCAGAGGTCCAGCTCATAAATAACTGGGTAAATATCTACCCGGTGGCATCTCCTACCAAGCCCCGGTCCTCCTCCCCCGACACAACCTGGTCGCAGGCCAGGACCCTGGACACTTTGCCCCCCAAACGCCAAGCTCCTCCATCCCTTCGGTCCCGCGGAAGCGGATTAGGCCGGGCCTCACCGAGCGCGCCCAGGTGGCCGTAGGTCTCCCGCATCACGTCCCGGTACAGGGTCCTCTGCGCGGACCGCAGACACTCCCACTCCTCCGGGGAGAAGTACACGGCCACGTCCGCGAACTTCACCGCCCTTGGCTTCCTTCCCCTTCTCCGGCCGGGTCCAGCCTCTCCTGGTCCCCGTTCGGGGAGCGGAGCTGAAGGCGGTGCCATTGGACCCGAGAAGTCGGTGGCACGACCTCCCCTGGCCCGGCCTTGGCCCCTGGCGGACCCGGGATTTGGGAGCCGGCGCCGGACCGGGACTGAGTGTGCCTAGGGCAGGCCAGCAGGGAATCGGAAACCGCCGCCTGCGGGGCTAACGGAAACCTGTCGCTGTTCTTCAGGAAACTCCTACCCGAACTTGGGGGAAAGGCACCGGAAGATGCCTTCGGGGAAAATGGCGGCGCTGCTACTGCACCGCCTTTGCCTGGAACACAGGCAGCTTCCAGCTATCGATTTTATTGACCAGAGCGCCATGCCGGCTTCCTACCCTCTTTGCCCTCAAGTGTGATGGCGCTGCGATTGGGCTTCACGCCCTTTTTCCTCCCATTCCACGCGCTCATTGGGCGGCGGCCGAAGACCGAGCATTCTGATTGGGTGTTTACGAAAGCGGCCTGTTTGAACGAAGCCAACGGAAGCGTAAGGGCAGGAAGTTGGCTCATGGTGTCTGGTGACTGATTTTTGAGGCGGGAAGCCTCGACGTGGCCTGGGATTAGCAACCGGCCCTTGTTCGTGGGGGCCACTGCCTGCCTGGGGGAGGGGCAGATTCGAGCGAGGGAGCCACTCCTGCCAACCCAGGCTGAAGCTCCTGGGTTCTTTTTCGTGTCTTTCTCAGGAAGAGCCTTTGCTTTGGATGATGGGGAACTTCCTTGTTGCCCTTTTGGGAGGGGAATTAACGTTAGTTTCCTCTGGGCTGGCACCATACCCAACACGTGACACATTCTATCTTATTTATTCTTTTTTTTTTTTTTTAAGAATGGTAGTTCTTTTTAGTTTAGTTTATCCTCACCTGAGGACATTTTTTTCCATTTTTTGTTCAGATAGAGTGGGAGGGAAAGGGAGGGAGGGAGGGGGAGAGAGAGAGAGAGAGAGAGAAACATCGACGCAAAAGGGACACATCGAGTGGTTGCCACCCGCACCACCCGCACGACCAACCAGGGCAGGACAACCTGCAACCGAGGTACATGCCCGTAGTGGGAACCGAACCCAGGTCTCTCTGAACCGCAGGTCGACGCTCTAACCGCTGAGCCAAACCGGCCAGGGCTCTTATTTATTCTTTGACAACATTGTGTGAGGTGATGGTTATCCTTCCAGTTCCACTAATGAGGAAAGATCTCAGAGGGGTACTGCTAGTAAAGCAGAGGGACAGATTTAAACTTGGGCTGACAGAGCCTTTATTCATGCCCCTGAACTAGGCACTGTCCCCTCCCACTATTTTAATTGGATTGGTAACTCAAGAATCCACCTGGGCTCCTGGGCTCTTTTGAGGTTCAATCTTCTGTGTATCTCTCCATACTTCATTTTTACATGACATCTGTTCATGTACAAAGTATAGTGGTGGATAGTGAGGAGAGGCCAGGTTACAAAAATAAGTCATGGGCCATGCCCTGAATGAAGTTTACAGTCTAGTGAGGCATATAAATTCACAACTAATAATAACAGAATGATATAAGCACGTATGGGAAAGACACATCGGAAAGGAAAATTGCTGATGGAACCAGTCAGCACCCATCCCCATCGGTCTGTCCCCACTTCTGTGTAAATGTTGTGGTTCAGAGTTTCACCAGCTTAGTGTCATCACCCAGGGGAACTGGGGACAGGAGAATACACCATTTGCTGTATCTCTTACCTCAGCTGATGCCATATACATTTATCTTTCCAACCCATTACCTTTTTTTTTTTTTTTAGATCTATCCATATTAAATATAAAACTTTAGAAGAAAGCCTAGAGAACTATGTGAGTTTATGAGAATTTAACGGGGAGGGGAAAAGCCTTGCAATAATCCAACCATAGGCTACAGTACATATATTACCTCAGGAGCTGAATGGGATTTAATGGGAGCACATAAGAGGTCTTAGGATGAATGCAATGATTTAGTAGCTAGACATACACATCAGCCAACTGTCAACCTCCTTTGATTCCCACTCCCCTTTCTAATGAAACAAGAGGGCCAAACCTCCAACCCATTAATATTTTATTTTTTTAAATGTATCTTTATTGTTGAGAGTAATATAAATGTCCCCCCATGTTTTCCCTCCTTGACCCCCTCCACCCACTATTTCTTAATGGATTCATGTTGTCAAGTTTCAACCTCTTCCATTTCTGAGCAAGGTAACTAACGCACTGACACATTTCTGATTACAGCTATATCCCGCTCCTTGAAGGGGGACTTCAATGCACCTACAGACCTTGTCACTTTGTATATCTCCTTTTCCCCTCTCTCTCTTGCCCCTGCTTGCTCTGCATGGTCAATACTTAACAAGGAGAAATACCATCCATCAGAAGCTCCATTGGGGTACCTGACCAGGTCATGCACACTTTTGGAATTTATCTGAGAAACAGTGAACATAAACTGGGGGGTCATGATCCTCAAGGTCAGAGCCTGGCATAGGGACTGACCAGGTCTCTAACACTCTGCCTCGCCTTCTTTGCCTGATAGATCCACTGGTGGGTTTTCAGGGCATACTTTCTCTTGAAGAGTTTCCTATACTCATTGCAGGGAAAGGGCCTCTAGTTATGGCTGCATCCACTCTAACCAGAGGCCCTAAATGTGTGTATCTGCCAAGGGAGCCTCTAGTGGAAGCACTACCTACAGCCATGAGCTCGTGCTGGAGTAAGTTTTCCTGGTAAGCAAAGTAACTACTACATTGTAGGGAATGGTGGCAGTGCTTACCCAAGTGCACAAGCTGGTGGTTGGCCAGGAGGGAGGGGTATGCAAAGTGGCACCCCTGGTCTGTGCACATATGTCTGTACCTGTGGATATACATACCCCTGCTCGGGTGGAAGGAGCAGCCACAGCCAGGGTACAGGTAGGGCTTGTCTCTTTTTGTGGAGCAGCTGGTGCTAGAACAGGTAAGCCCACTGGTAAAAATGGACACCACATGACCTATAAACATGGGGACAGTCGCCAGAGTGGATCTGTCTGTGTCTGACAAACAGTGAGGGGAAGGCAAAGAGCTGCCAACAGTAAAGACATGCATAGGGGCTTCTTCCTTATGTGGTGGCCAGTGCTCTGCTTTTTCAAAAGCAGCAGCCACAGTGGGGGCAGAGAAGGGGTGTCTCACCTGTGTGGATGAGTTGATGCTGGAGCAGGTCCTTGCACTGAGAAAGCTGTACCCATACTACCACAGGGTAGGGCTGCTCAGCAGACTAGACCTGCTGGTGGCTGGCCAGGAGGAAGAGAACAGACATGAGTGTGGCCTCTTTGGAGCTTGAGAGCACTGTTGCCCTGTGGCTGAAGAGCCCTGAGGCAATTACTGGCAACACCCCCTGCAGTTAGGGTCCTCAGTTACTTCCAGGGGTATTGCCACATCTTCTGCGCTGGCCTCTATCTCACATAGACCAAATTAAGTTTCTTGATTCCCATTTCTTTCTTTTTTTAAAAATCCTCACCCGAGGAGGTTTTTACATTTATCTTCAGACAGAGTGGGAGGAAGAGAGAGAGAGAGAGAAACATTGATGTGAGAGAGACACATTGATTGGTTGCCACCCGGACGACCCCAACTGGGGACTCTTTGGTCTGCAGGCTGACACTCTAACCGCTGAGCCAAACCTGCCAGGGCTCCTTTTTTTCTTCTTATTCTTGCTTTCTGCAGAGACAAATGGAACCAAAGACTGGGCAGTTGGGTATGAAGAAGAAGCAGCTCCTGAGACTAAGAGCCTGTTTGTTCAAGGCATAAGGGTCTAAGTGTGAATCCCTCAATGCCCCACCTAGCTCAGGCAGAAGTTTCCCATTTTCTAAAAAGTTCTATCCCTCCCCCTCCTCCTCCTACTTCTCCTCCTTCATTCAGGGCCTCCAAAATTGCACAGTGTTCTCATAAAGAAAGGCCAAATTCTTTTCAGAATTAAGCTGGCATCTCTCCCTGTTAAAGACCTTAAATGTGGGCATTTCAGTGCAAATAGTCTCCAAAAAATTGCGACCTCAGTGCCTTTTGAGCACCCCAAAACACCTGTTTCCATCCTAATTGTAAGTTGGCAAGTCACCAAATGTTTTATATATGTCAAGAGTGCTCCAGACAGCTTCAAATAGCAGGGTATGTTGCCCTGGGAGACAAGGGCAGGCCCACAAACCTAAGTGAACTTCTAGCCCCTCTCCAAGCCAGTAAAAGTATAGCATTCAGATCATCTGGGCTTAAATAACTGCAAATTAAAAATTCACCAGACACACTTCAAGTGCTAAATAGCCATCTGTGGTGGCTTGTGGCTTCTCTGTTGGACAGCACAGACATAGAACATTCCCATAATTGAAGAAAGTTCTTTCAGACAGCAATGCTCTAGGTACTTAGCTGTAAAGTAGGTAGAAGATCTCAATCCCCAACAAGGCTGCCTCACCTCTCAGCCCGAGTAGAGACCAGTAGGACCAACTAGCTACCTCTGAGTGCAAGGAAGACTCCAGGTATGGGAAAGAACTTTGGAAGAGAAGATTCAGAGGATTCTTACCAACTGGGGTCTTTAAAGAGATGAGTGGGGTGGGGGTGGGGGGGCTGCTGGGAGAAAGGGCAGCCCCTGCTTGCTCCCAAGTGACTGACTTCAACCTCAGCGCTCACCTATCCTAGATCTTGGGTGCCTCACTCCCTTTTAGGGCTCCTCAGCCTCTAGGCTCCATGCCTCCTCCTTTCTCTCCATCCAGGAGATAAGGGCGTTATTTGGGGCCTGAAAATCCAGGTAGGAGATGAAGCGTAGAGAAGGTGCTTCCTCTGCAAGGGTGGGATACATCCTCCTGAACCCTTAGAGAGAAGACCTCCCCAACGCTCTCAGGCGCTTCCGGACGGAAGCCGAATGGTCTCCGTGCCGCAAACAGGGAGAGAATGGAGGGTCGGTGTCTTCGATCGCGCGCAGGTACCCAGGGTCGGCCGCACCGCGTTCCTGTCCAAGGCGCTCTGTGCAGCCCTGGGTGTGTAAACTCTTCGCCCTCAAGTATCATGGCGTCATGCGCTGCTCGGCCTTCTCCCTGGGTGGCCCGCGGCCGAAGGAAAGAGCCAGCGTTCTGATTGGGTCTCAGGAGAATCGTCCGGTTTGAAGGAAGCCGGCTGTAGCGTGCAGGCCCGCCCCTTCCCTGGAACCACTGCGGGCCGCAGGGCGCATTTGTTGGCCCGGCTTCGGGCCAAGTCCTGGGCCCGGCTGCAGGTGCCAAGGGACAGCGGTGCAGCCCTGCAACCCAAGAGTCCTCCGCATCGCCCCTCTCTCGCGGCCTGGCACTCGGCCCGCTATCGCCAGAGCCCCGTCTGCGTCGCTCTCGGACTCCCTACCTCTTTGTACCCAGGCTTGACGAATGTACAAAC